CGATGCATGCAATAATAACGATGTGACAGGAGTGAAATGTTTTTCAATTCATTCCCAAAAGTTCTTTCTTCGTGTCCTTGGTATGGTACAAGGATGAATTCTTAGTGATATCGTAACACATATTCTCATCCAACATGGCCGCTGCCTGAACACATCTCCACCTGTAGCCATCCGTGTCCCGGCCACGGATAAATCTTGCATAAGTAAACGCTTTAGAGATGTTTCTTTCACACCATTCATCTCGGAGATTCTGTACTCGATATTCTGAAACATTAAATTAAACTTTTCTCTTCCAGACAACAACGTAAATTGCAAGTTTGACAATCTGTGGCAAGTTACAACAAAACGAAAATATTCTTGTCGCAATTCATGCCGTTGATAAAAAGCCCATGATCACCCTATAGGCCTATAATTACCAAAGCAATTGTCATTGGCCTGATTTATGCTATAGTCGTCTGCATGGATCAACACAACTGTACAAGCGAAACACATGCAGTTCGTCTTTTAATTCTATGACAGGATGTATCAGAAAAAAGAAGACAATTTTGAAATATTTAGTAAACTATAAAGTTATCAAAACATCGCATAGAATCGTGCAAGCATGACTATGGGTATACTTTATTTCGTATCGTCTGCTCAACGTATGACCAAAAAACAATCAGGAAATTTAACCTCGAAAAACAGGCAAGAGGTTTTGTAAAAACCACAAAAACCTAATTTTGAATGGCTTGCGCAAGCATGAATAACTTGTTAAAATGAATTTTAATTTTATGGAATGAAGGTTATTTTTTTTGTTTACAAATACAGGAATTTCAGAAAATTTGATGAGAAATAAGTTCGCCACGCACGAGCGTAAACTTGAGTTATTTTTGGTCTCTACTCGCGACCGGCCAGGGGCGGCGCCAGCCGCCCAAGCGTGGGGGGGACTTTTCGACCGCCTAAGGCGGGAGAAAACTAGGGGGGTCCGGGGGCATGCTCCCCCGGAAAATTTTGAAATCTAGAGTCTCTTAAATGCGTTTTCCTGCGTTTTGGGAAGTCTTTTTTTCTGAAAACCTATGCCACTTAAGCCTAAAAATAAGATGATCAGCTTTCTACAAAGAGTCAAGAATGAGTTAAAACTTTCACAAAACTTTTAAAACTGTATTGAATTCACGTTATATGTAAGTAAATAAGATATGATCTACATAAACAATTTAAACAATTTTGTCTTTTGTTTCGTATAAAATATTGCTAATATATAAATAAAACCACAACATTGCCCCCCCCCCCCCATATTTCTCATCGGTTATGAACGAATTGGAAAATTGATTTAGAGGTTGACTGGGGGGGACATGTCCCCCCCAGTCCTCCCCGTGGCGCCGCCTCGGCGACCCCAATAATCGTGTCTCGTACGCTACTGCATCTGTCAACACGAATTATCCGCATACAGTTCGTATGTATAGAATCTGCAGTATAGTCTTATTATAAACGAAGTAATTTTGAATTAGTTCATCTTGACGTCATGCATCATCCGTTTGTTACTATTAATAGGAGGTTGGGACGAACTACGAAAATTCATCATAAAACGGCTCTTGTGCACACTTTTTATTACATAAATAATTTCCTAATACCGGTGCACTTTCTAAAATCGCGATTCTGTTTGGTTTACCATATTCTCCCACATAGTTCGTCTATACGTAGTTTGTCGTCTGTTAACTCAGGTCCTCTCGTGGAATTAAAAAACTTCCTCCCAAAATTTATATTAGGTCAATTTATACTACAGGGAAGGATTATCCGTCGGGACGAATGAGTATAAACTCATTCGTTTGAGTTTATGACCTCTCTCGAAAAATTTTGGCAATGTGAAAAAAAGGAATCTAATTATCATAACATACCTGGAATTTCTGCCTCAGATTCATTCTGTATAACTACGTCACCAAAAACATGATCTCTGAAATCTCTCCATTGAAGAAGATTTCCATTAACATTCAAGATTCCGGAAGCCATTCCCTGAATAATATTGGTGGTCAAGAATTGACTCCAGAGATTCAACCCTGAAAGGCTCCCTTTGAACGCTTGACGACTTTCAAAACCTCCGCCATAGGAATCCAATTCCTGACCAAGTAAAATGACGCCGTTGGAATGTATGATGTGATTTTTTGCTCTGTATTTTGTTCCTTTCTTTTCCCCATCTTGATAAATCTCCATTAAACCATCAAAGCTTCTCCACTGGAGGCAATAAAAATGCCACGAGTCATAGGCAGAAATCTTGGGTCTAAAATGTGTAAAAATAGTCAATGGAGTCCCTGTGCTGTTGTCTTACAAATGTATGCAGGAAAAACTCTAAGTGATGAGAAAAATAAACTTAGTGGTAAAAGGAGCTAAAAGGTCAATCATGCAGTTATCGCCCCTTTTCCTGGTCACGTGTTCAATAAATATTCTTCCTTGCGGGGTGAGCCTAAGCAAGATTTGTCTGACATCGAAAAATTTACAGCACCACAACTTTAACTTGAGTTCATTATTCTAAGTGTGGACTGGGACGCCAAAATTACTTAGTATATACTAATTAACCCGCTATTTGAATAAATGTTCTTAACTTCAAAGTCCAACACCAAGGAATCATACAAATAAGCTTGAATTTCAACTGCATACTTCAGAGTTGAGTAGGCGAATATGGCACATTCGGTTTTCAAAAATTTCGCCCAAAAACAGGAGGAAACTTCCGTTAAAGTGTAGTTAACGACCTTATCTATTTTGACATAGTTTTTCACCGAAGCTTCAGGAAAACTCATCTGATACACAGAATCTGCTCCTGGCGAGAGAAAACAATCACAAAGCGTCAGCTGACAAGGTTAATTATCGACAGAATTAAGCGAAAATGAAACCGAATACAAAAAATATCCAAAACAATTTTTACTAAATACTTTCTCAGTTGTCAGGAATTAAAAAATGCATGCTAGAGTATCCATACAGGAAAACGTTTGAATGTTGTATTTGTGTGATAAGATCAACTGGGGCCTTCAGTTCGAAACAAAATTTGGTCAACTTAATGCTAGGTATTGAAATCTTCAAATTAAACTTTTTAAGTGCTTTTTATAAGATAATTAAGATTACAAAAGATTACCAAAATATAAAATAAGATTACTAAGATTACCAAAATAAGAACAGAAGAAATTTCGTAAAAAGTAAACATTTTGAAAAATTTAATTTTTACGTATCGATTAAACTATATCGAATTAGATGAAGAATAAAAAACTTTTACTATGGTAAATATAGTCGAAACGTAGAAATTATTTTTAAAAAGTCTATTATTTAGGGAGTTTTTGTTGTTTTATATGACTGTCAAAATACTCTGTCAAGATGAATGGTCTCTTTAATCAATTACAGTTGTAAGATTAATATAAAACTGAATGGTTCTAGACCATGTCATACTTACGAGAATTGTGTAAATCATCCGGTGTCTCTTTGAAGTAAACATCTTCTTTAACCTTTGACTTTATTCCATACCACGCGAAGATATTACCGTTTTCAAACAATGGTCCTTTGTTTGCCATTAACGATAAAGCATGTCCATCAATTTCATAGTTCCAAATATTGAGTCTACTTTGAGAGATATTGTGCATGTATCCACCTGAAATCCCATAATGACTGACCTTATACCACTATCCATTTTACCCATGCAAATAGCCTCGTTTTTGTTTACGAATGGTCATCGCTAAGTATGGTAATGATTATGGTATAATAATAACTCTGTTAACTGAAGAGCTTAAGATTATGATATTTGTTTTTCTGTGACATGCTATTAACAAGTTAATATGAGAGATATTGTGCTTTGAGAGATATTGTGCATGTATCCACCTAAAATTCGATGATAGTAGATCTTTTCTCTGATCCATTTTTACTGTGCAAATAGCCTCATTTTTGTTATACTCATGGTCATCCCTAAGTATTGTACTCATTATGTAATAATAATCACTTAGTTAATGATCCTAAGATTATGCTATTTACCTTTCTCTCACATGCTCTTAACAAGTTAACATGGAAACAAGGTCATTTGCAGGTAAATAATTATATTAATATTTTTCAATTTTTATAGAGCATGTATCCTAAAAAGGCGCAAAAAAATCAATAAAGTCTCGAAGAAAAAAAATGAAGAGTTCAAGTGCAGCGTACAAATTTTGAACCAGAATTTATGCCTCTTACTGAATTGCAAGCAAAGTTGTCCTCCTGCAGGAATGGTAATATTGGAAGCCACATCATGCATGATAGAGACCAAGGAACCATCCAGATATATTTTCCAGTGGCCTGTACTACTCGACCATGTTGTAGAAATATGGTGCCAATATGCTGGTTCTTCATTCCAAAAGATTGGTATTCTTGCTTCTCTGAAAAGTTTGAACATTAGTTAGTACTGGCACCGTAACCTCTCTCATGTTATTTCAACCGGGTAAAAAATAGCTAGGTTAACTGCATGATATTTGATAGCACGTTTCTTTTTGGAAAGCCATGAGTTATACTAATTAGTTTTCGTCATTTCCAAAATGTTTTCAGATGCAGGTTTGAACGTTCATCAAGCTCTCATCAGGAAAAGTCTCAAAACAGATTTGCACAACATTCCTTTTGAAAGCTATATTTTATAATAAAATCTTTTGCCTTTTCTGAACGCCATATATTTCCAAGGTGAGATTTTCCGCAGTAAGGTAAAATAAAAGCAAGGGGGTTCCTGAAGCGTTTGTGTAATGAACATATCTGTGATTGAGAGGTTCTGTGTCCAGATCCATTAGCGTCTTCTCGTATTTTATCCACGTTGCAATTGTGAAAGCGTCAATTCGTTGAGTTTCTTCCCATTTTAAGGTATGGACGTCCTGTGATTGTGTTATAACAATGTCATACACTGGGTCTGAAAAAGATCAGTTATAAATTTTTCTTTACGATGACGTGAATTTTAAAGTTCAACAACTTTTGAAAAGGGAAATAATTCCATAATGGTTTCATTTCACTAGGTCTGTCAGAACTGGTAATCAGCACTTACTTTTTCGAAGTGGCTTACACGAACTTGGCTGTTCCTTGACGACCATATCACCATATCTGTCCTTAAGAGAACTCCAGTTTATGACATCTCCAAATTCAATATTTAAGCAACTTTGGTTTGTAAATTTCTTTTCGACATCAGCAGCAGTAGATAAAAACTCACTCCATACATTTAGTTGACTCAGTTTTCCAGAGAATGAATGCTTGGGAGTCCCATTTGTGCTTTTTAGTTTCAGTCCTACGACGAAGACACCTCCAGCTTTCAACGGTAAACTCGAGCCGAGATCATTTCCACTGTAAACCAATGTACCGTCAAGAAAAATAGCGTATTTTCCAAGAGACCACGATACTCCCACGTGATGCCAATAGCCGTCATTGATTGGTGGAACAAGAAAGACCCTGAAAAGGTCAAGTATAGGAAGAGAATTCTCCCAAGTAAATTACAACCTACAAATGAAAACTAGGACATTGAAAAATTTCATTTTCCGCGAAATAGAACAATAAAGTAATCAACTCATTGAGCACTCGGCCTCTGTTGTGTCTTTTGCTATACAAATTTCTTCATTCATTAAAACGAAAATATATCATACTTTTTCGATGAATGAAACTTTAGGATAATCCTTTCTCTCCAAATCTTCAGCCGAAATTCTTTGGTATTTTCGCTGACAACATAGGATAAGATTGTCATTGTGTCTGTTTTCGAACTAATGTTGATCCAAAACATAAGTGTAAAATTGGACAATTCTGGTACATCCTCGTCGTGCAAAGTAAAGTTTTGAACGTTCTTCAGAACTATATCAAAATCTCCTGCAAGGAGGTAAAATTATCAAAAAATATTGTAAAATTAATATTGTAAAATGGTCTATAAATACCATATAATATGGGACATGTCGCCCAAATTAGTCTACGGTTACAGACTTGAAAAATGTGTGTCAGAAAATGTTATATAAATTCGTCATCGTGCATGATGAAGGCTGACTTTCTTTATTCTCTACCTCTCCCGCCTCAAAACAAGTAAGCTCAGTCTCTCATTATAATCTCTATTTATGTCTGCTATTTACTTAAATAATTTAAAATAATTGCATGATTAGAGACTGGCTTGTGTCATGCGCATAAACATGACATATGCGACGAATTTTTGCTACACCCAATCAATTTTTGAACTGCATATAGAAGTGAATCATGTTTTAGTAATAATTAATATTGTAGTAATTTTTCAAGCGGGACTTTAATTCATTGGAAATCGGTGATGTCTACTGACAACACGAAGTTTCTTTGCATATAGCATTTTTCGCCACTGACATGCATAGAGATCGCTTTTCCGGTTTTCCCTAGATATGATTTTCCCTACACTCTTCTGTAATTCGGTTTACCTGATTTTTGTGTTGTGTGAGACTCGACAATTGATTGAACAGGATTCGATTCTGTCTATAAATAAAAAAATGACGACCCGATATAGAGCATCTTGTAAAGCTTATAATTATATAGGGGCCAATTTGGTTTCCATGGTGGCATCACTTAACTGTTTTATTCATTGCGGGATTTATTCTTGGAGGTAGGCATGTAGCTATATATCACAAGAATCAATATACTGCGTGTTTTCATAGTCTACCCCCAAGGAATAGAAGCCTCCGTACGCCTTTGTATAATTATAGTGAAATACATCTTTATACTAATATGAAAATATGGACATGGAACGATTATCTTACACTAGTAACTTTGAAAAGTCTACATTTTCCGAGAGAAATCAACGGTGTTTAGCATGCATGAATTGAACTGAACAAAGACACATGCAAATTAACCGGTAGTTTGGTACCATCCGCTATACCTAAGGTAGTTACATGCTTGTTCAGAGTTTTTCTGACAATCCGTCGACAAACACGAGAAACTAATTATTTGCTCTTTTTTTACCTCTCTGACGATGTGAAGATGGACGAACTCTGGGTTAAGAATACTTTCATCCACGTCATTTGTCCCTGGAAGTGTTAAATTGTTGAGTTCGCACAAACCTTTTCCAACTCCAGATGTTTTAAAATTTACAGACGCGCACGAAAAATCGTCAACACAATGCATGGCACATTCAAACTCGTTTTCCGCCTGCTTTGTTCCGATGACATGATTCAGCAAATATTTTTGTTTAATTTCGCGAAACAAGATCTTCCTGGTGTTTAGATCTAGACATTCACCCGGCTGGGATGTTTTTAAGAAGAAAATTAGCGCAAAAAAGACAAGTAAAACAGCCATTGCGTCTGACGATATACTGAGCTACACCTCCTTTAAACTACCGTTTAACGAGGCCCGTTAACACGCGACAGCAGGTGCTGATTGTCGGTCTTTCATAGACAAAAAGACAAGTATAAACACTAATAATAATATAAACGTTCGCGTGTCTTTTAGAATTTAGGAGAATTTATTATTGGTATAATTGGTTACGAAGGTTCTAAAGTCAAAACTCGCATCGAGAGTTTTCTGTAACTATATGTCTACGTTTTAGGCAGAAACAGCATAATCAGCGTTTAATGATGTTTATGGTTTACACAACACGATAACATTCACCTATATGAACGCTTTAGGAAAATATCGAAAAAGTATTATTTATAAAAGTCTTTTAGGTGAATTTAGTGTGTGAAGAAAAGGTCTTTCACCGACTTCAAGCGCATCCATTCAGACCTGGTATTTCCCCATATGTTTTGTACCAATCATATAAAATATATCCTGAGAAAATTATGCAAGCTTTTTAAAAAACGGTTTAGACACTTGTTACGCTGACAACATAGGATAAGATTGTCATTGAGTCTGCGAATTTTGAAATACTTTAAATATTGAGTATAGTCTATATAGTATAGCGCCACTAATCTGATTACAGGCCGAATTCAAACTATCGTTTCCCGAGGCTCGTTAACACGCGGCAGCAGGTGCTGATGCTTCGTTTCCACATATAACCCGAAAAATTATATTAAAGGCCCACGTACACTGAATGCGATTTGCCAAAACAACGCTAATTTTTCTTTCTTATAATTCAATTCTGAAAGCAAATTTTAAGTATGCATGGGCCCTAGACATCCTAAAATATGCTCTCCTTCCGTACGTATAAAGAACATCAGAACACGATAAAACGTAGTTGCTTTTGAAAACTATAGGTATAAAATTCTACGTATAACCTACTGTAGGCCTTATAATTATTAATTCTGATCAGTAAATTTAATTTTTGCGCATCTTTTTATACTGAAAGAGTTATAGAATATAAGAAAATTTATATATGTACTGTATATATAAATGGTTGATATTTCATATTTTAAATTTAAGGCGTTAGTATGACTAATTCCTTTAAACACGAAGGGTTGTAAGATGAAAACGTTGAGAAATTTTCTTGTAGCCATCATATATATGCACGTCTTCTTTTTAGGCAGCTGGTGCTGAACCAAATTTCGTGATGTTTATGGTTTTAACAACATGCCGACAATAATATGCACTTAACATTCAGTAAGCGAATAATAATTATATTTTTTAGTCAACTATATAAACGAGTGGAAAAAAAGGGCAAATATTTTTATGATATTTGATGAACAGAAATGTCTTTTACTGACTTAAGCCGGTTTACCACTATCGATATTTTTCGCGCGAAGCGACATTTTACATTTCTTTCAGAGCTCCCAGCTGCAACAATCTGGAACAAATTGCCCAAATATAAAAGAATAAAGTCGCTTGCGCGAAAAATATCGCTAGTGGAAAACCGGCTTTAAGCAGATTTAGTCCTGGTATCTCCCTATGCTTCGTAATCTATTCCAACTGCAACCATTCTTCCATAGGGTTACAGGAGATGAGTTATGCGAAATGCCTGTCGCCTGACTATACTAACTAGAATTGCCACCCATAGCTACACTTCACCCCACTAAACCAAAATCCCCTGTATTTCAACCTAATCAATGTCCCATACTGCCGAAACTCTCCACCCAAAACATAACCCCATATTACAAAACCTCCCCAATATAACATATGTAACCCCCCAAAACTCTTGTCCCAAGCAGTCCAAAAATGTCAAAACAGTCATGCTAGGACTAAAAGAAAGGTTGGAAACCAACTAAGTTGTTGCACTCGTTGAACCGTGCAGCCAAAACTTCGGCTTGTGTGTGTCCTGCACTTGGTAAAACGCAACTTCCAAGTTTGTCTAACGTGTCTGTTACAGCAAAAACCTTATCAACTTGAGTATAGTGATCAACCATAGCCGACAGTCCCGGATGCGAGACGTGATGGACAATCACAAGGGCCCTTCTTGCGAGACCCTAGAAACTTACAACGCTGCCGATGAACGACCGTGCGTCCTTTTTACTCTTTCCATACAAGAAAACGGACGACATCTCCCGGAACACAGGAGAAAGTTGTTTTAAAGGGAACAAGATTAGCAACTAGGAAGGTATGCAATTCCCTCTCCAAACTTGATTTCTGCTGTCCCTAACGTGTCGCAGTTCGTTCTGACTAAAGTTCACGTTTGTTTATCGTTGAAAGATCGAGTCTAAGCGTTTCCAGAGGCTGGGGCAAGGCGAGACCAGAGGCAGAAGATTGTTGCACATTTGACAAAACATAGCACAGTCGTATTCAGGGTAATGGCAGCTCGTACACGTTTCCGCCGGGCGCCACAACCGGGGAATTCCCTGAGGAAAGAAACGGGTATTGGTCGTCAGGCGGGTAACTGTCTGAACACGGAAGGCCCAAAGATCCCAATCTAAAGGCTTGTCCTCGAAAAGCCCCGCGTGGGTTGGGAAGAGTATACGACCAGTCTGCATGGCCCTTCTTCCCTAGAAGGACTTTATCGTTAGCATATCCATTGACCAAAGGCAACCAAAACCGTCGTGGAAATACATCGGGTAGTATGATGGTGAGGCGACATCCAGCAGAAAAGAGGAAGCAAATGATCGAGCCAATGATACTAATAGGAGGAAGCACATAAGCGTTTCCGTCTCGCCCAAGGACTGAGCAAACAAATTAATACCCGCCGAATTTGGGGTCGGCCATGCAAGGGGTGAAATATCGGAGTGGTAAACCGTCAGGGCCAATATGCAAGTTGGAATCGAGGGACATAAGATATATCGTATGAGGCCCCCAACGACTTTGTAAATCCTGTCAAACGTGGTCGGAGAGCATACAATCAGCAACTGATAAGACCCTCGACAAGGATCTGCCAAATTCTCCTTAGATGGGACATACCGGACAGTAAGACCAATGTTTGCTCGCAGGGAAAGCTGGAAAACCGATCGAATAACCTCTGTGAGCTGGGCACTCTTGCCTCCATGTTGTTGCCATGCTTTGACAAGAGCCTGGTTGTCGGAATGTGCATCAATGTGACGATTCTACCAGAATTGAACTGCAACAGAGAGGGTTTTCCCGAGAGCCAGGGCCTCTTTAATAATGATAGGTTTCAGCAGCTTTCACGAAATGTGACGGGCGTGCCCTGAAGTGGAAAAATTATTCCACCCCATCCGGAGTTAGAGGCATCTGCAAAGAATTCAAGCACGTAGTGCCGTTCGTCGAACCACGGAAGAGCAGTGGCGTAGGAAGGGGGGGGCACTGGGGGCACGTGCCCCCCCCAAAATTTTTCAAGGGACCAAAGGTGCCCTTTTTTTGAAAAAATAATCCTTAATTTTCCCAATAATCCTTAAATTGAGAGGGGTTTGTGGCCATTTCAGAGGC